TAGAGCTCTAGATACCCGGGTATCGAGCAATGCGAGTAGCTCGATACTCGCTCGAAACTCGTTCATTGCTCAACTGCTCAAATGTTTGTTCAACATTTTCGAGTTTTTGAACAATTTCATAAATAAAAGAAAATTTGTAAATTGTATCTGTCAGCAGTTGCTTTCTAATTCATGTTAAATAAATTATATTATTAAATACCAATGTAACAATCTTTGCATTAAATATCAATGATTTGAAAAATTTAAAAAGTTGCTACCAAAAATGTCAATATAATAAAAAAAACATTGCTCAAATTACTCGAAAAAACTCGAATTGCTCGAGCTCATGCTCGGAAATTTTCGAGTAATGAGCATTGAACAAGTGTGCGAGTACTCGCTGCTCATATACCCGGGCTGTTTGAAAATGTGCGAACAAAATCGAGAGCTCTAGTATGCAGTTAACAGGCTTATAAAATTTTAGTAAAATAAGTGCAAAAATTGACAAGTAAATAGTTTGGGATGAGTCTGCCTAAAACTATACAATAGATGATCTATTTTTTGTATGGAATTAACAATAAAAACCACGCTGTCAAGTTTAAACAGCGGCGAATCGGCTGCACTTGATGGTAGTAGGTTGAATAAAGGAAATCGATTAGCAACAAGAGTTTACGGTGGTGTGCATTGCTCAGTGGTTAGCGCTTCTGTCTTTGCACATCGATGATGCGGGTTCGATCCCTGCTGAAGTCCGAAATAGCTGCTATAACTTCTACCGCTTAGACTTTGTTGTTTTTCCATTTTTCCTAACAAACAAATCGTGCCACAAAGCTCAATAACACTTGAAAAAAAAAATAAGTTTTAATATTTTTTTTTTGCTGACGGCTTTTCCGTTTTTTTTTTCATATAAATAGCGAATTAAGGAAAACTGGAATTGACTTTTTTATTTTTTTCGCAAGCGGTCTTGCGCATTTTCTTCCACAAGAAATTCATGTTTATATGGAAAAAAGTGCGAAACGCCGTCAACAAAAAAAAAGTATCAAAAATCTATGCGATTCTTTACCCGCGCAAAACTTGCACTTATTTTACTAAAATTTTATAAGTCTGTTAACTGCATACCTAAAAAATTTATGAAAATTCTGGTTAAAAAGCTCGAAATTTAGATCAGTTTGGTGAATTTTTGAAATGTATAAAGTTTGAAATTGTGATTTATATCGTTTTTGTTAAAGCATAAACCATATTTTTATAAAAAATTATAACAAAAAATTAGCTTGAAAAACATTTTAATATTAAAAACGAGACACGAAATTTCAAGAACGAAAACGTCCAAAACAAAATCTGGCACTTGCGTTTACTCAAACATTAACTTTTGATGGTGTATTTTCCCACCCGGAATCTCTTTTCAAATCGCAATTAGTTTTGATTGAATAAACGAAAAATGTCCATGCACGGTAACCTTTCATATTGTACACCATACAAACTATAACTATAACCAGTGGCATGCGACATTAAAGCCTAAAAATCGAAATTACTTTTTCCCCAAACCATATTTTACGAAATAAGATACCCAAATACCATCCCAGGCTAGGGGTAGACCAAAATATCGACAGGTGTTTGAAATTGACGGTTAATTATGTACATACATAACTTTGAGCTTCGCTATATAAAGTCTTACCCTAAATGAGTATTCACACGATTGTGTGCTGTAATCAATGCAAAATATTTGCTTACAATACGATTGGCTTCTCCCAGGAACTGAACAATCAATTCATCTTCAGGCTCATCAGCATAATAATAACCTTCATCATTTTGAGAGTTGTTGTCGCCAACACCAATACCAGCAGCACCACTATTGCTTTCCGCGTGTGTCGATGAACTGCGTCTCAATACTTGGTTGGCCTCAGCATCTACATCAACTATTCGTCGTGGTGTAATAGTACAATATGAGTCAACTTCACCTACTATTAAATTCGCCTCCTCCGTGCTCCGCAAATCTAAGTTAGTCGGTGTGCCTTCATGCTTATCACTTGCAGCGGTTGTCGCATTATCAGTAGCCGCAATTGGCTTACAATCACTGTCGACGCTGGCAGCAACGGTCGACACTGTTGCGACATCATGAGAATGTGTATCGTCTACAATATCAATAAAATAAGTTGTACCGGTATTCTTTGTTTCCTCTCCTTCTCTCTTCTCCTTCTCAGTTACGTGTACGACTGATATTAGTTCATTGCAATTTTTTTGACAGTTCTCTTTTTTTTCACCGACGTTAGCGTCGACTTCGGCGTCGACGCTGTCATTTTCGTCGCTAGCATTCAACTCGTTTAACAGGTCGGTTTCGCTATAGTCGAATCCATCCTCGATGACTTCATCATTGCTACAAATACTCGTTGTAGATTTTTTATTTAAACTACAAACGTTGTTGTTATTATGTTTTTTATTATTAGATGGGTTTGAATCCAAGAAATTATCGTTAATTTCTCTACCAACACTGGGCAGGACATTATTGTTTTGAGTATCTGACATTTTGTAAGACCCGTAGTTTTTTTCTTTTCTATGGTTTGTTTTATCGCGTTATTAAAATTTGTCAACACATTGAAACTGGTTAGCCCTTGAACTCATTTTTGTATATCTTCGATTTGGTCTATTTTTCAGCTTACACGCCAAATTGCCTGGTTTAGCTGCTTTGCATAACTCAAAAGCTTTAACTTATATAATATTAAAACCAAAAGGCTGCGAAATTCACACAAACATTTTCCCTTCCTCCACTTTTTCGTTTGTAACGCTTTGTTTGCTTATTATTTTTCGTCTGTTGGTATGCGATAAACAAATTTTGTGATTCTTCGCTTGCTTACACAAAACATGCGATAAGTAGACGTTAACAAGTTACTAACTTCACCGACGGCTGGCCACTGACTGAAACTCGCTTGATTAGCTTTAAGAGTGCGAACTTCTAGTATGAAGGCAAGTCATGATGATGATTAGTTGAAGCCTAGCTAAGACAAGAGACGGGGAAAGAGACGTGATCCAAAATGGCAAATAAAGATGAAGATATGAAGTCGACGATGACAAACTCTAGTTCAAAATATATTTGAATGGAAGTATCGTTTGAGAAGAAAGGAGCGCGCGGGGTTGTTTGCTGATCGATAGGTTGAGTAGCAGTTGGCTCACCAAAGTTGTTAGCAGTGTTACCAGGACCTCAAAAATAAAAAAGCTAGATCGGCCAAATAAAAAAGCTAAATGGCCAAAAAAAGGTTGAGAAAAGCCAGCCTTTTCAACATTTCATTAACTCATAACTTGGCCGATCTAGCTTTTTTTATTTTTGAGGTCCTGGTAACACTGCTAACAACTTCGGTGAGCCAACAAAGTGGAGGAAGTGTAATAGAAGACGAATTTTTTGAGTGTATGCGATTTGACAGTACCAGATGCAAACTTCGCAACATATCTGACGAGAGTTTCACGTCAAAGTCACTCGTCGAGGCTATGCTACAAAGCAGCGAAAAATGGTCAGCAGCATGTGACGCAATAGTAGAGGCAATGAAGAGGCAAGGACCCCCGAATGGCTACGGCATAGCAGCGGCGACTAATTACCTTTCTCCTTCCCGATGTAGGGCTTGACGTCTTGTGGAGTTCTACGAAATAACATGCATTTCCTGGTTTTACAGGTACACTTGAGAGCCCCTGAAAAAACTGTTAAAGTATAAACAGAACGAGATCGGTAAGCTAATTTCGTCAGACGGGGCGATGCCGCTGGGTGATATTCGCTTAACATTTCGTCAAGCAAAACTGAACCGGAACAATAATTTAGTGCTACTACAAATATTGTGGAGGATTGTCCTTAAGAAATGCTAGTTTGAAAATAAGAAAAGTCTAGAAAAAAGCCACGAAGCTAAGTCCTAAATTTCGAAGCTAAACGACAAAGAAAAAGGCTAGATCTAGCCTCAAAAACTAAACTGGCAACACTGGTTCTTAGCGAAGAACGAAGAAAAGAGAGAGGCTAGATTAGAGCGACAAGCAGTGGAGTACTGAGCCACTTCAGTAGGTAGATACGCATGAATTTGTTTGTAAAATGTTAATGCACGAATATTAGGGTAGATCAAAACTTAATTTATTGCATACAATATCACAATGTATTGATACTGTTAGGATTTACATAAGAAATAAGTAACATCATTTTAGTGGGGGCTAAAAAAAATTAGAAACCTTTTTTTTCTGCATTTGTTTCTTAAATTATGATAAATTATCTCATTTCTATTAAATTTATTGACAGATTTTACAAAGCGAAATTACTCGATTTCAGCATGATTTGCTTATTAATTACAAATGAACCGTAAATTACGATAATGTGAACATGGTTTAACAGACATCTTTTGACATCCCGCTGAGGTATTGAAGAGGGATTTAAAAAATAGAAAATTTTGTTTAATTACTCTAATATGTTTATATATGTATATTAGGGCTGTGGGATTATTCGATTACTCGAGCAAGTTGGTTAAACGATGATTATACGAGTAACTTCAAATATAATTACTCAAAAATAATAATTTTGCTTGTTAAAAGAGTTTGCTTTAGAAAATGCCTATTTTCTATTTTACATTCTGTTGCCCAGTAAAATTAGACTTTTTCTTAAAAAAAATTATAACAGTAGTTTTTTGATGCAGTTTACTTCTATTTGACACTTAGATCATGGATCCTCAGTCTTGCCCCTAAATTTCACTTGACAAAATTCCGCCATCTTGGATTTAAGTTTTTTTGTTTTGTTTTTTTTTTTTGCAATTTGCAAGCTTATTTTGCATTTTTCGTAAAAAATGCTTAAATACAAATATGTAGAGAATTTCACTACCCACATTTGTTATATAGAAAGTTTTTTAAAAATAGTATTTTTTATTGAAAAGTTAACAAAAACTACGAATAAATTTTACATTATCACGGTTTTCGCCATTTTTTGACAATTTCTCTTGAAAATACATAGCATAATGAAATTCCAAAGTTGTAGAGAATTTCATTCTCCACAACTTTTGTACTCACATTTGTTTTGTACGACGCTTAGATTACGGCCGAAAACGTGACAAACATAGCGATGTACGGGATGCGCCGTAAAACTGATTTCCACACCTTCACCTGCTTTCATTAAAAAAAGCGTTGCCCGTGGATTAGGCTTACTGGGAAATCCACGATAAAAAAAACGCGCCGAAAAACTCTACCTCAGCGGAGGTGTGGAAATGAGTTTTACGGCGCATCGGGTACATCGCTATGTTTATCGCGTTCCCGGCCGTGATCTAATCGTCGTACAAAAAAAAATATGTAGGTATAAAAGTTGTGAAGAATGAAATTTTCGACAGCTTTGGAATTTCAATATGCTATGTATTTTCAACAGAAATTGCATCGACCACAGGTCCAACAAAACTCTCTCCGTGCAGCTCTGCACTCTCTCGCAAAATGGCCATCTTCTCCGCAATGTCTACACGCAGTCCACGGATTAACGTACTCCGCCTGTGGTGTTGCCACACCGCTGTGTGGTTCAGGTCGGCGCTGTGTTCTCTCTGCTCTAGCCGTCTCGTCACTCCTAGGCAGTTCGCGCATGTGCTGATATCTCTCCGTGACCCGCGAAGTGGTTCGCGCTGCGGCTCTCTGTGGCTCTCTCACCGGGGGGATATTTTCCATATCTTCCGTCAAACTCACTAGCTATTCTAGGGTGGTGAACTCGGATCGTTTGACGTACCATTGGAACTAGCTTCTAGAGTTTCTGTAGATACGCGTCAGCTTCTGCTCTGAGGTGTAGTTCGCGTGTCGCATCAAATTCTGAAGGGCCAACACATAGTCTTTAAATTTCTCGTTCGGTTGTTGG